TGCGTAGCTATTGCGAGTGATTTTGAGTAAGTTACAAATTCTTTCACATGAAATTTTGTACGCCTTCAGGCTTGGTAAGTAATGCCACTCTCAGGCTGAGGGCTGTCGTGGAAGTACCGTGAAAAGCCGGCATTCACCAATAAAACACTTGAACATAAGCGCGTGTGGTTTAGTGGTTAGCATGTCGCTTGTGGATATTAACTTAAAGGGTTCGATTCCCTGCTGGCCCACCTCTTGCAAAAAGGATTTCCATTTGCGAGAATGGCTATAAATAGAAATGATAAGGCCTCTTTGTTCACTGATTCCTTACTACGGTAAAAATTTGATTCTGATGTGTGCTGGAAAGTCAAAATCACCCACAGCTTATTTACAAATAGTTTCCGAAAGCAAAGGGTATCGACGATCTCAGTATGAATTGGGAGCATAAGTAATGTATTTCTTGACGGGACCACTTAGTAATGTCTTTTTTGTGCTTGAGATGATTTTTGGGGAAATCCAACTTGAAAATGGGTGTTTCAACATCGTGAATTGGCTAAACCATACCCATTCCCGTTAAAGACAAGTCAAACCTCAAGAAAAACAGTGTCCTTACAATACATAATTGCAGCAGTTTCGCTGTTGCCGGCGAACAAATCGTACATATCGGAGGAGTAGAAAACCATTCAAACTCTCCAACTTACAACACGGATTCGGTACGTTTTGCTTATTTAATCAATTGTAAATGATAATTAGCTTACCAGTTCTTTTTTTTTCATACATTTTTGGCACTGTATCAAACACTTTATGGTTCCTTTCTTCGACTAATACTTTGATTATTGTCATCATCAATATTTGCCATATAAGCATTTACCGTTTTTTAGTTTCTTTTAAAACACTTCAACTGGAATCTTTGTTCTTCTTTCATCATTTTCAGCACATACTGTTTGGTCGTCACCGTAGTTAGCTGAAATTTGCTAAATCAAGATTGCCTTAGTCGGATTAATAGGATCAAAGTGAATAAAAGATTGACAGCTGCAGCTTGCCCATCTACGTATTTTACATCTACGTAACAATTTCAGGACAGTGCTGTTAATTTCCAAGGTTGCATGCGTCGGATTCTTGTAAATGAATATGAAGTTGATAAATTTGTTGGTTTTATGGAGCAAAAAATTGGAAAAGTTTGTCACGATGACTTAAAAACGTGCGGTATCGATGGAGATAGCGATTGGTGCAGTGGTGGTACTTGTGTTGTTGACGATAATGATAGGAAATGTGTTTGCACCGATGGTTTCGATGCATGGAGCTGCAGAGCTGGTTAGTTATTCAAAAATTTTGCCGAAAAACCCTAAAATTCAGCTTTACAGCTTTCGTTATTCCCAAGATAATAATTTTTCCCACCAAAAATTTCACGAGGCCATGCGTGATACGCAGGCGAAGGGGAAGGCTGAATTTAAATTTGCAGTGCTGTACGTAAGCAGGTGTCATCCCCTTAAAATTTCGGCCTCTTTAGCTTTCGTGGCTCCCGAGGAGTA